CCCTCCCCTCCTCCCCCCTCCCCCCCCCTCCCCTCCTGCCCCTGCCCCTGCTCCTGCTCTCCCTTCCCAACTCCTCCTCCTGATTTCGCCCCTCCTGCTCTTCCTGCCCCTCTTCCTGGCCCCTGCTCTTGCTCTTGTTACCCTTTTGCATTTTACCGCCCATATCTGGCTGCTCGATCCCTGGCTCCACTTATCTCCGTATCCTCAATCCCACGTGTCCTCTCTTGTCGGCCATGCACGTGGCACAGGGATTCGTAGCCCAATCGTGCTTGTTCTTGATCATGCTGAGTTTCAGCGAAAGATCCTACGCTCTCCTGTCGTCCAATTTTGTGTCACATCCAGCACTACATCAGGGAAGTCCAGCACATCGTCCTACATGCACGGAACGGCGTGGAACAATCGGTCTCAGCTGTTCTACAGGAGAAGCGGCCGGACAGAGCAGGTTCTTCTCCTTCGAAGGCATCATAGGGGCAGGCAAGAGTACTCTATTGCGGAAGCTTCAAGAGAACGGGGTAGTTGTGATACCTGAGCCTCTCCAAGCGTGGCAGGACAACGGAATCTTTGAGGCCTTCTACAAGGACATGTCGAGATGGAGCTTCACCTTCCAGATTGCTGCGTTCACGACACGTGTGAAGTCGGTTGAGGAGGCCATCTCCTCGACCTCCTCGTCCTCCTCGCCTTGGATGGTGGGAGAGCGATCATGGTTTGCAGACTCGTATGTCTTCGAGCCGCTCCTGCACAGGGACGGACATCTCAACAACATGGAGCACGACAGCTACAAGCTGTGGTGGCAGTGGGCAGAGCAACGAGCCCCCCGGACCTCGGGTATCATATACCTTCGAGCATCACCGCGCACGTGCCTTAAGAGAATCCAGAAGCGTTCAAGGGCCGAGGAGGCGGACATTCCACTGGGGTACCTGGAGGGGCTCTTTGAGAAGCACGAAGACTGGCTCATGCACAGGAAGACGCCGTACGGGAGGCACGACATTCCAGTCCTCGTGTTGAATGCCGACGTCGAGTTCGAGTCCAACGAGGAGGTCACGCAGGTGAGTCGGAGGTGGACTGTGTTGATATGGTTGACGGTGAGATTCAGGAGATGTTAGCTTCTATCTTGAACTTCATGAAGGAGAACGGAAGCGCATCTTGATCGTTGAGGGATTTTCACTGAATCTCTTCCGACTAGTTGCATGTCATCCTGCGGTTTTCCTCTGAAACCAACTAGGACTTTTCCACCCGTTGCATGAATTTCTCTTCCTCCCCTTCCTTCTCATCCCTTCCACACAAGACGCTCTATCGCTTCGTGAATATGTTCTCCGGAACGTTCTGATCATCAAGAGTCAGAGCACGAGACACAGGACACGAGCCGATTTACCGCAGCGAGCGGTGTTGGCTCCTCCGCGTTCACCGGTACGGGATACACCCCGGTGAAGCAAGCTCTGCAAAAGCCATAGCGGGCCCCGGAAGCTTCTATCGTGGACTCCACAAGTCCGTTGGCACTGAGATACCCCATCGTCTTCACACCCAGCCAGGCAGCCATGGACGGGATGTCACCATGGTGCTGGTTGAACAAGAGCTCTCCCTGCAAGAAACAGTGAGGGGATGAAGCAACGGAAAGGACGAAAGACCTTGGAAGGAAAGTCCATGCCGAAGAAGCACGGGTCTGTGACGGGAGGGCTTGCTACTCGGAAGTGTACTTCCTTCGCTCCCGCAGAACGGACGAGCCCGATGAGCTGCCGAGCTGTCGTGCCTCTCACAATGGAGTCGTCCAGGAGCACGACGACTCTGTCCTTGCAGACGTGCGTCAACGGATTGAACTTGCATCTAACTTTGAGGTCCCTGTACTCCTGGGATGGAGCGATGAAGCTTCTACCCACGTAAGGATTTCTGAAGAATCCCAGATCCTGAATGCAAGCTCTGCCGAGCCTCACCGACTCCTCCACGAAGCCGATCGTTGCGTGAGTGGCGGAGTCAGGGACTGGGATGACGACAGGAGGAAGCTCTCCCTCGCCAACCTCGGGGACAGGATGTTCTCGCGCAAGTTGCCTACCATGAGCACGGCGAACTTTGGTGACGTAGTCTCCGAATACCATCGAGTCCGGGCGAGCGAAGTAGACGTATTCAAAGATGCACTGGGAGACACCGAACTTGTTCGGGAGGTGAAGGGAAGCAAAAGTTCCCGACTTGACCGACTTGAAGTTGATGACGATCATTTCTCCTGGCTCCACGTCTCGGACATATTCAGCTTTGCAGAGATCCAGCGCGCAAGTCTCTGAGGCCACACAGAAGCCGTCTGTTCCATTTACACCTCTCTTGGGCAACCTGCGGGCAAGTCAGCAACAAGGTTCTCTGTCCGAGGTTTTTGATCGACTCACTTCCCAAGCACGAGCGGACGGAAACCGTTGGGGTCTCGCACGCAGATCATGCTCTCGTCGGTCATGACGACACAGGAGAAGGCCCCCTCTGCCTGCGTCATGGCATCGAAGATCTGATCAATCTGACTCCTTCGCTTGCTGTGCGAGATGAGGTGCAAGAACAGCTCTGAGTCCACTGAGGTCTGCATCAGCACCCCGTGATGCTCGAAGAACGTCCTCAGCTCATTGAAGTTCGACAAGTTTCCGTTGTGCGCCAGCGCCAGATTCCCCAGAGCGTAGCGAACAGCAAACGGCTGGTACCCGGCCAGCTGTGTCTTCCCCCCAGCCGTCGAGTACCGCGTGTGTCCCACCGCACAGTTTCCCTTGAGAGTGTTGAGCACCTCAGGGGTGAAGGTGTCAGTCACGAGCCCCATCCCCTTGTGGATGTCAAACTCCTTCCCCATCCCACTCTTCAACTCAGGCAGGATATCTCCCGTGACCATCCCGGACCCTTCCTGTCCACGATGCTGCAGCCCCACCAGCCCATAGTAACACGTGTGAGAGGCCTTCTCAACGTTGAAGACGCCAAAGACTCCACACTTCTCGTTGTATCTCCTCTCGCTCATTTGCTCCAACCCCTCTGCCACCAGGGGGCCAGCTCGGGTCGCCAGAGGGTCTTGCCTCGACGCTGCATTGTAAGAGCTCGACGAGTGAGCCAGGTCCTCTATGTCCATACTCGCTGTATCTAGAGAGTTTGGGTCTGAGTGATGAAGCAAAGTAGAATCTCAACCTGAGACAGCTGTCAGCAAGCGCTATTTTCACCTACGAGTAGCGCCCTCTTAAGGCAATTTGCATCGAGCCTGTTGAGATTCGGACATTTTTGCTCGTACTGGACGTCTCGCACTATACATTCGACTCAAAGATATCCTTCATTGTCCTGCTCACTCTAAGAAGACCTCATCGGTTTCGCCTAAGCTGCTTCGTATTCGTGCTTGGTTGTTGGGTTCGTTCAATCTAAGTCTACCATACGTTCACCTCTGCCTATCTGCTACCTCTTGTATGCTCTTGTTCTCTCATATCTGCTGTTCCTCTTCGCCATCGGCTCTCCTGCTTTCTCCCCCCCTCCTTGCACGAAGCCATGTGCGAGTTCCGGATGCTTTCTCGCGTTCAGTCTGCATACCAGCGGCCACAGAAAGTGGGGGGTCAGGGTGGTGTTGTGTGCATACAAAGCAGGTAGGGTGATGCAGAAAGAACTGTGTAAGGGGGTAGGGGTTTAAAAAGTCAATCACTCGCCATGGGTGGGGTACTTCAGAATGGTCATCTACTACCGGGTGCTTAGTAGATAAAAGAAGGGTGTTAAGAGAATTTTAGTCTTGACTGGTTGTTCATTGCTGTGGTACGGTGGTAGCAGGGATGAGAGGGTGATGTAGGAAAGGGGTTCTTCATAGGGGTAGGGATGGTGTTTTACAGGGTTACGTCCAGTAGAGGGTACGTACCAAATTAAAATATGATATTGAGATAAAATCTATAAATGTCTTGTAGTACCAATAGTGTTAAAAGGATATTACTTTTAGCAAACACGACAAAATATTGGAAGTAAAAAGTCTTTACCTATAGAGATATGAAAGGAAGACAGGTCATAATAAGTATTTTTGTAGTAGTATTTTGGTACCGGGAAGAAAAATCAATTGTTTTAAAAGTTTATCTACTTCAAGGCTTGGTACTGTTTACGAGTACGGTACTGTACAAGTTCGAGCGCCCACACTTCACGTGCGCGGCATCAAAATAAAGTTCAGTGCCTGACTCGTCGGACTCCGGAGTCCGAGTCAGAACTCCCGGAGTCCGGGCCGGGGCCGAGTACACGAAGTGGCGGGGGCCCGGCTGATTCCTTAATCCAATCTCAGAACTAAAACCTACCGTGACTGCCGACTCACCTGACTAGGGACGTGCGGTACTCCATTCCGGTACGGTCGGACGGTCGGACGGTCGGACTATTCGATGGCCGGGCCCGAAATGCCATCATGACCAGAGCCTCGGACTGACTCGAAGCATCCTCGGGGGCGGACCGTATTGAATCATCGGAATCAATACCCCTGGTTATCTGTCATGTCACTATATAAGCATGGGGTCCAGTCTTCCTCGCCGAGTCTCTCGGAGGCTCCGACTCTCGGGAGTCTCTCTCTCTCTCTCTCTCTCTCTCTCTCTCTCTCTCTCTCTCTCTCTCTCTCTCTCTCTCCTCTTCTCTCTCTTTCTTTCTTCTCATTCTCTCTCTTCTCACTTCCTTTCTCACTATCTCTTTTAACCTTTTTCCGAAGATACTCTTATCTCAGAACTTCGGAAGTCAATTACCTGTCGCTACTGCATACAATCCATCTAAGATCATCGATGGAATCAGAGCTGATTGTCGAAGTGTACTGTACGGTACGGTCCGAGGCTCGCACCGTACTGATGATCTTGAACTTAACTTTGAGTAAAGCAAGCTCAGTGCCGGCCAAGCCTGCGCGGCGGGCCGCTGCCGGCGGTGACGGACGGTCGGACTACAATCATTGCCCCCAGTTTCAAGTTTAATCAAGTAAGCTCCGGGCCGCATCGCCGCAAACTTACACGGTTGAGCCGGTTGCCTTTACAGCCAGCCCGTCGACGATGCGGCCGCAATGGCGTCAGTAGCCGCAACTAGCAGCCCGAGAGCCAAACCCCCGGGTCGCCAATATTTGACTTGTAGACATGGCCGTACAGAGTACTTTTCTTTTAAAATTATGTGAAGTACCGTCAAATATACTTTTATGTTAAAACTCAGGCCATTGGCACAAAAAGGTTTTTGAAGATGATTTTAAAAGCAAAACTTTAGCTGTAGAATTACTTCAAAAACAATTTATTCCTTGTAAAGCGATTTTTGGATAGAAGATTTATTTTTTGAAGATATAAAAATAAATTAAGCCATAGCACTAACTTCAGTCAAGTATAATTAAAACACACCTTTTAATCAAAAAGTCCACGTGCGGTGGCCGCATGTCTGACCCTGGGGGTGGTCATTTTCGATTCATTCAGAGGGTGGGTACCCGTTAATGAATGAGGTGGTACCAGTGCTGACAATTTATCTACCCGTACACTTCATATTGAATATACGGTACTATGAAGGGTTCATCGGGAAGAGCTTCTTGTTTGAGTAGGGTAGGTTGTGGCTGGAATGATTTTTCCCAGTCGGCATGGGGTAGGGTAGTCAAGACTTGGGGTTAAGGGAGAGAGGGGGGTTGTTCGCATGTGCGGGCGGGAAGCAACTAGTGAAGGAGCGGCGAGTACAAGCAGGTGAAGGACGAGGAAAACGAGGAAAGATAACCGTTATTCTCAGCCCCTTCTCTTTCTCATCCATCCCACAGCTCACAGGTCCAGCTGTTCTTGCTCTGGCAGCTTGTTCCCTGACATTGAGGGCCAGGACAACGAGCTACGAGCTACAGGGCGGATTTCGAGTTGTGAGGAAAGGAGCAGACTTGGCTGAAGAAATATGGGCGCGAAGAAGTGCGTTCTTGTGCTACAAGATGGAACGAGATGGGAGGGAGAAGCGTTCGGCGCGGAGGTCAGCGTTACAGGAGAAGCTGTCTTCCAAACAGGAATGGTCGGATATCCTGAGGCCCTGACGGACCCTTCCTACTGCAAGCAGATCCTAGTCATTACATACCCTCTTGTAGGAAACTATGGCGTTCCAGGAGATGACAAAGATGAACTGGGCATTCTCAAATATTTCGAGTCGAACAAGATTCACATTGCTGCGCTAGTGGTAAGTCGAAGAAAATTCCATTCACCGCAGAGGCCTGACGTAGCCTTCAGGTTTCTACTCTGAGCGAGGACTACAGTCACTGGCGAGCAAAGAAATCTTTGTCAGACTGGCTGAAGGAGCAGGGGATCCCAGGCATCTCAGGGGTTGATACCAGAGCGCTGACCAAGACTCTGCGTGAGCATGGCTGTTGCTTGGGAAAGCTGGTCATGGATGGAGATAACGAGAACCAGATCCAGTTCGCAGACCCCAATAAGCTGAATCTGGTTGCCGAGGTCTCTTGCAAGCAGCCGCAAGTCTACAATGCTGGAGCAGCAGTCAAGGTCACCATGGTGGACTGCGGAATGAAGCTGAACCAGCTCCGCTGTCTCTGCGCGCGAGGAGCGGAGGTCACTGTAGTCCCCTGGGACTATGACTTCGTGAGCAACGCTAGCTGGGATGGTCTCTTCATCAGCAACGGGCCTGGTGACCCAGAGATGGCGAGCGTGACCGTCTCGAACATCAAGAAGGTGCTGGAGGGCATGAGGACAGGAAAGATGCCGGTGAAGCCTTTGTTTGGAATCTGTCTTGGCCACCAGCTCCTGTCCCTCTCTGCAGGGGCTACGACGTACAAGCTTCCTTACGGGAATCGCGGACACAACCAGCCCTGCATCCAGGTGGGGACGAAACATTGCTTCATTACTTCCCAGAACCACGGGTTCGCTGTTGATGAGAGCAAGATGCCTGAGGGTTGGCTGCCTCTGTTCCGCAATGCCAACGACAACACCAATGAGGGAATCGTCCACGAGAGCATGCCCTTCTTTTCTGTGCAGTTTCATCCTGAAGCTAGAGCTGGACCCGAGGACACGGAGGGATTGTTCGATGTTTTTGTGAACGCCGCCAAGACTTACAAATCTGGAAACACTGTGGATATGCGCAAGAGCATCACTCAGAAGTGTACGGAGATAATTGGGAAGGATAGCAGCACAGTGGTGCTCCATCCCAAGCCTAGGAAAGTTCTTGTGTTGGGCTCGGGAGGGTTGTCCATTGGTCAGGCTGGAGAGTTTGACTACTCTGGCTCTCAAGCGATCAAAGCGCTGCGCGAAGAAGGAGTACAGACAGTTCTGATTAATCCAAATGTCGCTACAGTGCAGACGGCCAAGGGATTGGCAGACAAAGTTTACTTCCTACCGGTGACTCCAGACTACGTGATCCAGGTCCTGAAGCACGAGAGGCCCGACGGCCTGCTGCTGTCGTTCGGAGGCCAGACTGCCCTCAACTGTGGGATTGCTCTCTATCGCAAAGGCGTTTTGGAGCAGTACGGCTGCCGAGTTCTCGGAACTCCCGTGGAAACAATCATCTCGACTGAAGATCGACAGATCTTCTCCGACAAGCTTGCAGAGATCAATGAAAGAATCGCTCCAAGCTTCTCCGCTGACTCGCCGCAGGAAGCAGAAAAAGCAGCTCTCAAACTTGGTTTCCCTGTCATTGTACGAGCGGCATATGCTCTTGGTGGTCTTGGCTCTGGATTTGCCTACGACATGGGCCAGCTCAAGAGTTTGGTCGCCGTCTCCTTCTCGCACTCGCCGCAGGTTCTTGTGGAGAAGTCTCTGCGTGGCTGGAAGGAGATCGAGTACGAGGTCGTTCGTGACGCCTGGGGGAACTGTATCACTGTCTGCAACATGGAGAATTTCGACCCTCTCGGCATCCACACCGGCGAGTCGATCGTCGTAGCTCCCTCACAGACGTTGGACAACCACGACTACAACATGCTGCGCAACACTGCTGTCAAGGTCGTGCGGCACCTCGGGGTGGTTGGAGAGTGCAACATCCAGTATGCGCTAGACCCTCACTCCAACGACTACTTCATCATCGAAGTCAATGCCCGTCTCTCTCGCTCCTCAGCGTTGGCCTCCAAGGCAACTGGCTACCCGCTGGCGTACGTGGCTGCCAAGCTCGCGCTGAACTACCCTCTTCCCGACCTGAGAAACTCAGTGACGGGGAAAACGACTGCCTGCTTCGAGCCTTCTCTTGATTACTTGGTCGTCAAGATCCCCAGATGGGACCTCAAGAAATTCTCCAAAGTGTCGAACAAGATTGGCAGCCAGATGAAGTCTGTCGGAGAGGTGATGGCGATTGGAAGGAGGTTCGAGGAGGCGATCCAGAAGGGGTTGAGAATGGTCGACTCCAACGATGGCTTTGTTAGCGATATCATCCCGGCGTCCGAGGACGAGATCCGGGACGCCACAGACCAGCGCATCTTCTCTCTGGCAACGGCGATCGAGGAGGGCTGGAGCGTCGCCAAGCTCCACGAGCTCAGCAGCATTGACAACTGGTTCCTGAACCGCCTGAAAGGAATCATCGATTACAACCACCACCTGTCTCAGTACAAGATCGAGAGTCTTCCCGCTGACGTTCTGCGCACCGCCAAGGCCCTCGGCTTCTCTGACAAGGTCATCGCCAAGTGCACTCAGTCATCCCAGCTCGCCGTCAGGCAGCAGAGGAAGAACTTTGGCATCCTTCCCGTGGTGAAGCAGATTGATACGGTTGCCGCCGAATACCCAGCATGCACCAACTACCTCTACCTCACCTACAACGCAAAGGAGCACGATCTCGAGCCGTCGAACCAGGCCGTGTTCGTGCTGGGCTCGGGAGTCTATAGGATCGGATCTTCGGTGGAGTTTGACTGGTGCTCCGTGTGCTGCATTCGTGAGCTGCGCAAGCTCGGGCACGAGACGATCGTGCTGAACTGCAACCCGGAGACTGTGAGCACGGACTACGACGAGTCTGAGCGGCTCTTCTTCGACGAAATCTCCTTCGAGGTTGTCATGGACATCTACGACCGTGAGAACCCCCTCGGCGTCGTGCTGTCTGTGGGAGGTCAGGCCTCCAACAACATCGCCATGCAGCTGTTCCGCCAGAACGTCAAGGTGCTGGGAACTTCCCCGGAGATGATCGACAACGCCGAGAATCGCTACAAGTTCTCGCGCATGCTTGACAAGCTGGGCATCGACCAGCCGCAGTGGAAGGAGCTGTCGGACGTGGAGAGTGCCAAGGAGTTCTGCAACAGGGTCGGCTATCCTTGCCTCGTCCGTCCCTCCTACGTCCTCAGCGGCGCCGCCATGAACGTAGCACACTCAGACTCAGACCTGGAGTCGTACCTTGGAGCTGCCGTTGCAGTGTCCAAGGAGCACCCAGTGGTGATCTCAAAGTTCATCGAGAACGCCAAGGAGATCGAGGTGGATGCCATTGCCAAGGACGGCGTCGTCGTCGCCTGTGTGATCTCGGAGCACGTGGAGAACGCTGGTGTTCACTCCGGAGACGCAACCATCGTGTCTCCTGCTCAGGACCTGACGGACAGGACGCTGGAGGGCATCAGGGACATCATGTTTGCAGTAGCGCAAGCTCTCTTCATCTCGGGACCCTTCAACATGCAGCTCATGGCCAAGGACGACGAGCTGAAGGTCATCGAGTGCAACGTCCGCGCCTCCCGCTCCTTCCCCTTCGTCTCCAAGGCCCTTGACCTCCCCCTCATCCCCATAGCCACCAGGATCTTCATGGGCGTCTCCGAGGGAGTCCCGACGACGCTGGCGGTCGGTCAGGCCAACTGGGTGGGTGTAAAGGTGGCTCAGTTCTCCTTCAACCGCCTCCCCGGCAGCGATCCCCAGGTGGGCGTTGACATGATGAGCACAGGAGAGGTAGCGTGCTTCGGTGAGGACAGGAACGAGGCGTACCTCAAGGCGCTCCTCTCCACGGGCTTCAAGGCTCCCCCAGCCTCCAAACCCATCCTCCTCTCGATCGGCACCTACAGGAACAAGATGGACTTCCTGCCCTCCGTGCGGCTGCTGGTCGAGCTGGGATACAAGCTCTTCGGCAGCAAGGGGACAGCTGACTTCTACCTCGAAAACAACCTCGAGATCACTCCCGTCGATCTCCCCACCGATAGTGAGGGAGGTTCCCAGCTCAACCTCAAGGAGAGCCAGTTCGGCCTCGTCATCAACATCCCAGCCAAGAGCAGGTTCCGCCGTCCAGCCTCCTACAACTCCCAGGGCTACCTCACCCGCACCATGGCTGTCCTCCACTCTGTCCCGCTCATCACGGACATCAAGTGCGCCAAGATCTTCGTCGAGGCCATCTTCAAGTACGGCCTCTGCCCCCCCGTCCGCCCCATCGTCGACTGCCGCACTGCCAACCGCACAGTCTCGCTCCCTGGCCTCATCGACATGCACGTGCATGTTCGCGACCCTGGCGCCACCCACAAGGAGGACTGGGCGTCTTGCACGGCCTCGGCAGTCGCTGGCGGCGTCACCATCGTCTGCGCGATGCCTAACACAACCCCAGCTACCGTTGACAACGCGACCATGCAGACGGTGAGGAACCGGGCGGCGACCATGGCCAGGTGCGACTTCGCTTTGCTGGCGGGGGCGACCATGCTCAACGCTCAGAGCGTGAAGACCATCGACGGGGCTGTCGGGCTGTGTATGGAGTTGGACTACGCGACGAGCCACGAGTTGAGGATCGAGGACCTGACAGTCTGGATGGCTCACTTCGAGAACTGCCCTCCCAACATGCCCATCGTGGTTCGCGCAGAGTCCAAGACACTGGCAGCCGTGCTGATGATGGCGATGATGTACGACAGGGCGATCCACGTGTGCGCTCTCTCGCGCAGGGAGGAGATCATGGTGGTCCGCGAGGCGAAGAGGAGGGGCGCCAAGGTAACGTGCGGGGTCTGCCCGACGCATCTCTTCCTGGTGGAGGACGACATCGAAAAGATCGGAGACAAGCTGTGCTCCATCCGACCTCGACTTGCCACCTCCCAGGATCGCCAGGCTCTTTGGGAGAACATCGACATCATCGACGTCTTCTCCTCCCATCACGCCCCCCACACCAAGGAGGAGAAGGAGAAAGAGGCTGTTCCCGGATACCCAGGACTCGAGACCATGCTCCCGCTCCTCCTCACCGCCGTCAACGATGGACGGCTGACTATCGAGGACCTCGTTCTCCGCCTGCACACCAACCCGCGCAAGATCTTTGGGCTCGCGGAGCAGCCGGACACGTTCGTGGAGGTGGACCTCGACAGGACTTGGGAGATCCCTGAGTCTCTTCCTCACACCAAGTGCGACTGGACGCCGTTCAAGGGACACAAGGTCCGGGGGGCTGTCTCGCGCGTCGTCATTCGTGGAGAGCTGGTCTACCTGGATGGGCAAGTGTTCTCCGATCCTGGTTCAGGCAAGGAGATGAGAGTCGAGGTGGTGCCCAGCAGCGAAGCTCTGCTGGCAAGTCAACACTCTCTGTCTCCTCTCCTCCCTGTCTCCTCTTCCCTCCTTCCAACCTCCTCCTCCTTCCCCCTTCCTCCCTTGCTCTCGCATCTCCTCACTTGCCCTCGCAGACTTCAGGCCAGCAGCGCATTGCTCGTGCTGAGGGCATCACATCGCCCAAGAGAGTCTCGCTCGTCACGCCAGCTGCCACCCGGCAGCTTCCTGAACGATCTCCCGATGTTCACTCGGGCTCGGGAGAGTATGGCCCAACTCCAGGTTGCTCCCCCCCCGCCCCCCCTCCTCCTCCTACCCCTCGTCCTCTTCCTCGTCCTCATTGCTCATTTCCTTATCGCTCCCTCAACTTCTTCTCTCCTCTCCTCTCCTCTCCTCTCCTCTTCTCCTCTCTTGTCTGAGACTTTCGCAGCTTCACCAAAGGCTCCTCCATACGTCGACCGTGTGGTGGTGCCGCAGAAGCAGCAGCCCAACATCCACCCCTACAAGAGCCCCCTCCTCGCTCCCGAGAGCTCTCTCACCCAGCCCAACGCGCTGGCTGACTTCCGGGGTCACTCCATCTTGTCAGTCTCGCAGTTCACCCGCGCGTTCATGCACCAGCTCTTCAACCTCGCGCATGACTTGCGCATCTTCTCGCAGCGAGGCCCCCTCGACATCCTCCGTGGCATGTCGCTCGCCAGCATCTTCTACGAGCCCTCCACTCGCACCAGCAGCTCCTTCACCGCTGCCATGCAGAAGCTCGGGGGCACCGTCGTGGCTGTGCACGTGAGTCGCGAGTGTCGCAATGGTGTGCGCCTGACGGCTGCTGCAGGAAACGAACTCGTCGTCGGTGGTCAAGGGAGAGTCGCTCGAAGACTTCGTTCGGTACGCGGAGGAAGAAAGCGCACGGGCCTTGATGACTTTGACTTCAGCGTGATGGAACGATATTGCGATGTGGTCGTGCTGCGACATCCAGAGAAAGGGGCCGTGCAGCGAGCACACAGGTGAGGGAGGAGAGGAGGAAGGAGGAAGGAGAAGAGGAAGGGGGAAGGAGAGGGGGAAGGAGAGGAGGAAGGAGAGGAGCGAGAGGCGAGGAGGAGGAGTCTAGTGCTGGGGCGCTAACTCTGTGGCACAGCAAGATGAGGAAGCCCATCATCAACGCGGGGGATGGCACGGGCGAGCATCCGACTCAGGTGAGAGGCGATAAGCAGCGGATGATGAGGAGATGACGAGGGCGGCAGGCGCTGCTTGACATCTTCACCATCCGGGAAGAGATCGGCACCGTCAACGGGCTGAACATCGCTCTAGTGGGAGACCTCAAGCACGGGAGGACGGTGAGGTCGGCGCGGGAGCAAGTCAGCCTCGTGATGTCTTGCTGGTCTTCAGGTCCACAGCCTGGCGGAGCTCATCACCTTGTATGATATCAAGCTGCACCTGGTGGCCCCTGAAGGTACTGTCCTCTCCAACCCCTTCCCCCCCCTCTGCCTCCCCCCCTCCCTGTCTCTCCTCGTCCATGCCTCTCCTCCTCGTGTCTGCGAAACCTGACCTGACGTATCAGGCCTTGAGATGCCTCGAGACATCGTTGAGAGGCTCAGTCAGAAAGGAGCTAAGGTGCATCAGACAGGAAGGGGGAAGAAAAGTCTGAGACAGGAGCAGGTGAAGGAGCACAGGAGCGTGGATGACGTCATCGCTGAGGCCGATGTTGTCTACGTGACGAGGTGAGAGGAAGGAGGGAGGATCGAGGAGCGGGAGGATTGAGGAGCTGACATGCCGTTCAGAGTTCAGAAGGAGAGATTCACTGACCCGAGCGTCTATGAAAGTGTCAAGTCTGCTTACAAGGTTTCTCCTCCTACACCACCCACCACCACCACCGCCTCCTCCTCCTGCCTCTTCTCTTCTCCCTCCTCTTCGCTTGCAGCATTTTTGACGAGCAGCAGATCACCGCCAAGACGCTGGCACGAGCGAAGCCCAACATGATCTTGATGCACCCGCTCCCGCGTGTCGACGAGATTCACGAGGAGTGCGACCTTGACCCGCGTTCCGTATACTTCCGCCAGGTGACGGCGAGCTGGACTCTCTCTCTCTCCTTCTCTTTCTCCTCGTACACCTCTCTCTCTCTCTCTCTCTCTCTCTCTCTCTCTCTCTCTCTCTCTCTCTCCCCCTCTCTCTCTCTCTCTCTCTTCTCTTACCTCTCTCGCCCAGGCCGAGCATGGCATGTTCCTCCGGATGGCGATACTGACAACGGTAAAGACCCTCGGCCGCTGCTCTGCTCGTCTGACTTGCTGGTTCAGATCCTGGGGAAAAGCTAGGCTCCCTCGACCATGTGATGCATTCTTAAGTTTGCGTTGTAATCCACTCTTTGATCTGTATTCCCCGACCTCTCTCTGCTCCTCTCCCGCCCTTTCGTCTCGTCTCGCCAGTCAGTGAGAGGAAGGAGAGTAGCGACCATTACAACTGCCATGCTGTTTCCAAGAGGCGAAATGCTCAGAATAACTCTGATTCATGGGTGGAAAATGAAGCTGGAGATGTTGTGTAGGCGGCAGATTTCATTCACATGGATGGGCGAAAGGAGGAGAAGTGAATGCGGTGATGAGAAGGACGATGGCAACAACTAACGGGACGAAAACTTCAGAGTTGAACTTGACCCCATCTCACCATATCACATCGCACGACATCACATCTCATTGTTATGGCATTAAATCTAATCACTGACGTCTGATGTCTCATCTCTCATCTCTCATCTCTGATTGTTTATCTCTGATTGTTTATCTCTGATTGTTTATCTCTGATTGTTTATCTCTGATTGTTTATCTCTGATTGTTTATCTTTGATTGTTTATCTCTGATTGTTTATCGCTCATCGCCATCTCGCTCTTTTCTGTCGCATGGTTTTGCTTCCAATCCCACAGCTGACCTGGGGTGGTCAAGGAATCCAGGGTTTGGGCTCTTCAAAAGGGTGGGTATGATTAAGAGAATGAGGGGGTGGGGGTAGAGAATACAACGGGTAGTAAAATCTCAGCAGAAAGCAGGCGTTGCAGTTGTCGGAAATGAAATGCAGATGAACGAGTGGAGAGGAGAGGAGAGGAGAGGAGGGGAGAGGAGAGGAGAGGAGAGGAGAGGAGAGGAGAGGAGAGGAGAGGAGGGGAGAGGAGAGGAGAGGAGAGGAGAGGAGAGGAGAGGAGAGGAGAGGAGAGGAGAGGAGAGGAGAGGAGAGGAGAGGAGAGGAGGGGAGAGGAGAGGAGAGGAGAGGAGAGGAGAGGAGAGGAGAGGAGAGGAGAGGAGAGGAGAGGAGAGGAGAGGAGAGGAGAGGAGAAGAGATAGAAGAGAGGTGGGTGTCATGAACACAGAAGGGGTTTGATGTTCACGATGAACTCCAGCCGCTAGAACAATCTGAGATCCTCCTCCTCCTCCTCCTCCTTCTGCTTCCGCTTCTTCTCCTTCTGCTTCAGACAGAAGGGAAGATAGTCAAGTCAGATGAAAACCTCTTAATTGCTGCTGAGCGAAGTATCAAAATTTGTTGAGTTCCATCATGAACTTCCCGACCATTCGTGAGAATCAACATGAGAACGCGTTTGGGATGGCGATGGCGAGGATGGGAGATATGTTTGGAACGAAGAAGGCGGGCTCTCTCTGGAAGAACACCACAGCACAGCATCATAAGCTCAAGGAGCTGGAGCTTTCAAACCTTGACCAGCTCAAAGACTGCTTCTTTCGTATCAATCACTCCGGTGGGCTTGATCCACAGCAGTTTGTTGAGGCGTAAGTAGCCTCCTCCTCCTCCTCCTCCCCCTCACCCTCACCTTCCTCCTCCTCCTCCTCCTCCTCCTCTCTCCCGCCTGATGTGCTGCAGATTCAAGACGGTCTTCCCTCCCTGGAGCCGAGCAGTCGATCCTGCTGTCTCCCGATTCTGGCTCTCACGCTTGTACCCCCTCCCCTTAACCTTAAACCCTTCGCTGACTCGCGTGTCGCAGCTTCTCCAAGATAGACGCGAACGGGGATGGACGGGTTTCATGGGAAGAGTTCTCTGACTACGTGCTCTCCGAATCCCTCCAGCGTAGCGAACAGCTCCATGATGGGTTGGAGTTCAAGATCTTTGATGACCCACAGCAAGGTACATCCTCCTCCTCTACCTCCTCTTCCTCTTCCTCTTCCTCTTCCTCTTCCTCTTCTACCTCCTCCTCCTCCTCCTCTTCCTCCCATGCTCCTTCTTCTCCACCTCCTCGAGACTCACTTGCAGTGCAGACGAGGAGGGTTCGACACAAAACCATCACCGCGACATGATACTGGGTATCGCTTACCTCAAGGAGCTGAAGCGATATGTCACCTGCAGCAAGGACGGCACCGTCAAGTCCTGGAGCAGCAGCAGCCGCAGGCTCATCGCTACCCTCGTCGTCTCTCACTCCAAGTGCAAGACATGGGCGACCTGCTGCTGCGAGATGGGAGGGCTCAACGTGCCGAGCCTGACGCAAGGAGCTCTGGCTGTCTGCACGTCCTCGAGGAAGCTCATCGTCATCGACGTCAAGGGCTTCCACAGCGTTCACACCATCGAGCTGCCGGAGAGCATGATCCCCTTGTGCTGTACCTCGTTCCACGTAAGCAAGGGGCAAAGGCAGGAGGACAAGGCTCAAGGCTACGAGCACTTGCTGGCTGTGGGAGACGAGGAGGGGAAGGTGACGGTGATCAAACAGTCTCCTCGGCTCTTGAGCGTAACGAGAGTCCAAGAGCTGGACCCGTTGGTCCTCAAGCAGCACCAGGACCACGTCACTTACTGCTCCTACATCCGCACGCTCGACACCATCCTGTCCACCTCCCTGGACGGGTCCATCTGCCTGTACGAGATCCCCTCCAAGCAGACGAAGCGCTTCAAGGGTCATGCTAAGCCTGTCTTCTGCGCCGTCTTCTGCACTAACTTCAACTACGTGGCCTCGGGTGGGCAGGAGCGGGTGATCATCCTGTGGAACCCGTACACGCTGAAGCGCATCACGTCGCTGCACGGGCACAACGCGTGTATCACCTCAATCGTGTTCAACGCCAAGCACAGCCACATCATCAGCATCTCCTCCGACAAGGACGTGATGGTGTGGGACCCCAAGACCTACCAGCTCCTCCTGCGCGTGAAGGACCAGAATGTCTACAGACCAGAAAACGAGTTCTCATGCGCGTACTGGAACGAGAGCGAGACGCGGCTGGTGGTGGGTCACTCGAAGCTGCAAGTTCGACCGTACAAGGGAGACCTCAAGGATAGCAACCTGAGCCTCGCATCTCATAAAGCTCCCATCGTCGCTGCCATGCAGAACTCCGTCTTTCAGAACATCATCACCGTCGACTACCTGGGCCTCGTCATCGTCTGGAGCCTCGACGACGGCGAGCAGATCACGGCGTTCAAGTGCAAGCAGAGCAAGAGCTTTGACACGACGGCAGTCTCCTTTGACATCACGACTAGGCGACTCATCCTAGGAAGCGCCCACGGGAAGGTGTACATCTTCAACTGGAACAGCGGGGTGAAGCTCAACGAGCTTGTGAGCGATGCCGAGAAGGAGATCACTTGCATCTCCTTCTGCGAGGCGAGTCAGCGGACCTGTACTGTCGCGGCAGGATGGGACAGAAAGATCTACCTGTGGATCGATCCTCCCGACACCTTCCACCAGCAGCCCATGAAGCGCATCGACCTCATGACCTCCATGGACGTCATGCGCATGGTCTGGATCCAGCCCATCGGCACCCTCGCGCTCGCCATGTACGACGGGAGCCTGCGAACCTGGTCGACGGTCGGGTCATGGAAGAAGGGCATCACGATCAAGCTCAAAGAGGCGGAAGACGCGACGTTTGAGAACCAAGGCTCGGCCGCCATCAACTGCATCACGTGGATGAAGAAGGCGGAGACGAAGGAGCCTTTCTTCGCGACCGCCCACATGGACGGCATGATCCGACTGTGGCAGCCGCAGGACGGGAAGCAGCTGGGAGTCTTCGAGGCGGGCCATCGCGATCGTAAGATCAACGTGGACGGGAGCCGAACGGTGCTGCCTGCCATCGTCATGGACGTGGACCGGGAGAACCACCTGATGATCACTGGCGACGGGGTCGGGCAGGTGCGCGGAAGCGACTGCAGCAGCGTGTGCAAGCGGCTGGTCAAGCTGAAGATCAAAGTGGTCGAGGCTGCCGAGCTGCCAGCTGCTGACGCCAACGGGTTCTCCGACCCATACGCCATCCTGCACGTGAACAAGAAGAAGTTTCAGACGGAGGTTGTCTTGAAGGACCTCAATCCCGTGTGGGAGCAGGAGTTCGAGGTCGAGCTCGGGCTGTTCGACGAGAGCCAAGTCAACGCAACGGCCACGGCGATCTACATCCAAGTGCTGGATCAAGACAAGTTCGGCAGCGATGACCTCCTCGGTATCCTCCACATCGACACGGCCCTGGTGCAGGAGGGTCGCATCCACGACGCCTGGTATCCTTTGGAGGACCCGGAACCGGAGCTGAACAACTACAACGGCAAGTACGGGAGGATCCGCTTGCAGATGTCGCTGGAGGTGATGTGGAACAGCCCGAGCGTGATGTTCGAGTGGCAGGCGCACGAGGAGGAGCTAGTGTTCATCGCGATCTCTCAGTCCAGCGAGAGCTCCAAGTCGCTCATGGTAACGTGCGCCAAAGACAACTACGTGAAGCTCTGGACCATGAGCGGAGTTCTCATCGGATGCTTCGGGCATGACGTCTGGACGATCCAGCTGATCAAAGAAGCGATCACGCACGGGGCTGAGAGGCAGGCCCAGCTGATCCTCAACGAGAGGATGAGGCACGAGCTCGAGGAGCAGCAGCTTCGCAAGTGGAATGAGGAGCTGAGAAAGAACCAGGAGGACGCGCGACGACTGGAGGAGGAGCGCCAGCAGATGCTCGAGTACAGGGCGGCCAAGGTCGCAGACCGGGAGAAGCGAGAGGAGTACATCCGCGTGCTGGAGGAGTCGAACAATGTCAACGACCGGATCTACTCCAAGATCCTCCGCACTGGAATCCCCGAGGACACCTACCAGATTCTCAGCCAGCCGCTGCTGGACTCCATCATCGAAGGCAAGGGAAGGCCGACGGACTGGCGGTTCGCCATGGGCAGAACAGTCAGACCGCACGACGACGATGCTGCTGCGCTGCCTGCCAGGAGACGCCCACCTGTTGCAGAGCCCAGCAGACCGACGGGCTTGTCATTTGAGAGCGCCTACGCCAGCTACACGCTGACAGACGTTGACAACATTCCCTGGCAAGACCAGGCGAGCGAGCCCAGCACCATCCCTCGACGCCCCCACAACACTGTCGCTGCTCTCTATGAGAGTCAGGACGGAGAGCAGCCCGCGGGCGGCAAAATAAACTTCAACGAGGCGGTCAACTCTGCTGGTGCTGGCGGCTCTGCTGGAGCTGGCGGGATGGCCAGCAAGGTCGAGCATCTGCTTGCAAGCCCGTCGCTTGTGTCGGAGGCGAACAGAGTCTTGAGCTCTACAGAGAACAGGACGGAGACGATCAAGCCGAGGGTGGTCGGAGCTCTCGAGCCGCAGGGCCTGAGCAGCAACGTGAGGAAACTGCTGACGACAAGCCTGCCGACAACGAGGCCGCGAGGGTCGTGGACCTTCGACGAGATCACCTTGAAGGAAAGCGGGCAGGGGAGGATGCGACGTCAGATTCCGCGCTTTGACCTCTCGGCGATCAACCAGGATCGGGATAGAACAGCAGCCGAAGCTGCATCCTCCAAGATGGAATCAAGCCACCTCTGGAGCCGATCCTCCTTGACTCCTGAGTCAGACTACAGGAACAGACCGGAATCTTGGCGGATGCCTTACAGTCCCGGCATGGGAGCAGAGGGTCGGCCTCACTCGCTCCTGGTGTCGGTGGAGGACGAGAGCTCGAGGGCGACAGGCTTGTCTCTTCGTGAGTTCGACTCTAGACCGCCGACTACTCCCCGGGTCGTGCGAGTGAAGAAGCTTGACCTCAGCAACCTCCGGCCCAGCGCCCAGCAGCATCGTACTCCACACCCCCCCTCAGCTGGACTGTCCACAGCGAGGACAAGGCCGCAAACTTCAAGGATGGCCTCCAGCAGGCTGGGAGAAGAGAAGAAGCCATCTAACTCGAGCTCGTCCATCCCTCGCCATCGCTTGCGGCCCTTCACAGCAAGAGACGGGAAATTCCGAGGGAGTTAGGGGGGTGAGGAGGCTGAGGAGGAGGAATATGAGAACAATTTAAAAGATCCAGTGAATTAAAACAAATGTGACGATGAGATAAAACAGGATAGCACAAAATTATCTTCTCTTCGCACAATCTTCTTCTCCTCCTCAATCTGCTCTACCATTCGCCATTGTTGTTGTCGTCTGACCCGCACGCGACTCGATGGCGCAAGCTCGGAAGCTCCTTGTCATCACCGGCATGATAGCTCGAGCCGCATCGCCATCCTTCAGTGTCTTCCGTGGCCATCACGACGAAATCATTCCGCCTTGCCTCCTGTTGTATCGCATGCGAAGACCACAAGGAGAAGGCGCTGCCGTGCGGGTTGTATACGTTCGCCTCATGGCTGTTTCGAGTGACCTTCCTTCCAGGGAGCTCCTTTCCCACCCACCACGCTGACGAAGAGACTCTGCCGGACTCTCCGCCCTTGTCCTTCTTGTCCAGATGATCCAACGGCCTCGACAGCTGATCGTTGATCCGCCTCATGCCATGTTCCACAGTGTCCAAGACAGAGATCGAGCTCGGAAGTCGCGAGCCGACGAGAGCATTCACCTCCTCGCTGCCATCAACGGCTCTCGGCCGGCTAAGTCCGAGGGACAGACAAGCTTTCTGCCTTACGCTCGCTGCTTCTGTTTCATTCATGAGCTGCCATGAAGTATGAACCCCACGAATCGAAGCGAACACTCCCCCTCCAGTGCCATATCGCATTCCCTGCCCCCATGATGCGATGGCGTTCTTCGTTGCCACGTCAGACCCGTACGAGCAGTTAGCGGTGCCGCGAGGGACGTTGTCCCATGCCGAAGTCGCAGCAGCTGTGACACAAGTCGGAGAGGCCTCGTGCACTTGCGCTTGAGGCGGGGAGCCCAACCTTGGCTGCGTCATCTCCAGCCCCTCCCCCTGAGCCAGCGACATGTTGGTGGGAAGCTTGCAAGGCCATGGGCCACGTGTCATTTTCGAGTAGATACAAACAAGGGAACAAAACAAAATCGAGAGTCTGATATGGAAGCTGATGAGCAGAAGCTTTCAGAACATACGAGCCCTGCAGATGGCTCTCCCCTTAGACGATGTCCTCCTCTCCTTCTACTTGATGTCGCTCCTACTACTCTAGCTTCGAACCCCTTGACTTCTCACACTGCCATGAAACGGCCCCTCACCCTGTAGCTGCAACACAACCCCACCGGTTACCCTACCACCCACCTCCGATACACCTGCACACCCATCAGATGCTTTCCCTACCCCTTCTTTGAAACAAGTACCCTATCTTATCCCTCATTTCTCCAGTATAATCACCGGGTACTATTTACCCCCACCCACTATTTTTGGATGACTTCTCCAGGTTTGCACCTGCTGTTCACTCAGTTTCCACCCCCTTTCTGCCCCTTCGGTACCCGGACAGCATTTAAAATGAATTTATATAGTTTTTAGATCAGGTACCTTGCTAAAACTGATTTGACATATTTTCACTACCAAAAATACGTAATAATATTCTTATTAATTTTTTTCCTCAAGAATTCATAGAAAGGTTTTAAAAAATGATCCATAGTGTAAATTATTTGATTGACACACAGTTGTGCACCAAGGATAATTTCAAATTTCCTTTGCAAGAAATAAATTGTTGAAATTAGCTGGTTGACTCTTTGAAATATATGACTCCTCCCGCTCCCGAAAGCCAACATTTTAAAACTACTTTTGATATAATGCGTAGTGGAACGTTACTGTGTAACGTTTGAATTCCAACGAGTCGTAACGGCCCCATCTGTCTGCAGGGATGATGAGGGGATGTGGGCTTGGACCGAAGAGAGCGTGCGCATGGCTAGTTTAATCCGCGTCGGGGCTGGCGCAGCTATGGTGTACACCATCGCGGGGATGCCGCCAATGGCGAACGTTCCGATCATAGCCAGCACAAGAAGAGCGGCAGAGTCAGTCTTCAACGTCATGTTCAAGACAGCCAAGGGAACAGGAAGGTGAGAGCGCTTGCGGGGATGGAGCACAGGATGAGGTGTCTTGAAGCTCATGCATGGAGGATGTGTGGATGATGGGTGCAGTGAGTTGAAAGATTTAGCCTAGGCATAGCTTCATGACAAGCTTGGTAGCCCCATACAGGATGATTGACCACGTGCGCTGTCGAGAGGGGTTCCTTCAGAGCTGACCCGTTATGCCGCCCTGCTTCTGTTAACGCTGATCTGCAGAGCTGCATGGTATAGCGCGACAACACTCTTCGTCATGGTGTGTCCGGTACTTTTCATCATGGACACAAGCGAGGCACCCTCTGATGCATCGGCGGCGTCGGCAGCTCTTCCACAGCCCGTAAAGGTTTGATTTGAGGGCTAGTATCAGAATTGCAGCAACCCGCTTTATCGGCATCAGCTGCAAAGAACCTGATCCTTAGATAATCATCTAACAGGATCGTCAAGAAATATTTGTGCACATACATGAGACAATCGGATTGAAGTTTTACTCGTTAGCAAATGAAAACAATCGTTGACTTTGTGCTTGGCGTCTCCAACTTCTTGTTACAAATGCGATTCCGTCCCTACGACGAATTCATCGACTTCGACGAATGAGTCCTCAATCTGAATGTAGAAGAATAGCGAATAGCAAAATCTTTACAAGAGCTGTTCACAGCATATCTCAGCAGTTGTGATGAAGCTGAAGGGAGGTTGCAATAGTCATTGCAGATGAGTTAATCACTAGAACACCGGAGAGCAGTTCTTTCAGTCACTAAAAACACAAAGCCGAGTCAAGAAAGATGATATATACAAGTAGATAAGGGAGATAGGGAAGAATTCCGAGGAGGAGAGCATCAACGGCGAGAGGTCAATCTGATCTTGAGGCCCTTCATGAATCTCCTGTTCGTTGCTCTGCCTAGTTCGAGGATGGTGCCTCTGTTCTCAAAACGCTTCAGCGGATTCTTGATGAGAGGTCTGCCACTGGGAGATGTCAGCCTAGTCGTCATGCTCTTAGACGGCGAAGAGAAAGCAGGGGATCGAGTTTGTTGTCGCTCACTACGATCTCTGCACTCTTCCTGCATGCCACTAAAATCAGCGATTGGATCTCACTTACACAAGAACATGCACAACCTTGCTAACAACGAGCGTATCCTCCTTATGTGTCGTTGGTCTTGTCAGTTGTTCGACGGACTGGTCCAACACTTTGCCAAGATGCTCTTGCGAGGTGGATATCTCGTCGAAATAGACAGACCCGCGGTAGTTCACATGCGAAATCCTCTTCTTCGATACCCGGATAGCAAGACAGTCGTCTAGACAAGTCTGACTGCCATCCACCATGCTGATGCCGAAGGGGTCAAGGCAGAGATCTCGCTGGCTTGCCATGGGTGTTGCTGCTGAGTTCATGTCTTCCTCAAAATAGCAGGTCATCAGCCTATCCCCATTTACTTTGGTTGTCACCATTGCAGGTTGCTCTTGTAAAACTTTCATCCACTCAACAACGAGCGTGTTGGTCGTAAACACCTTCCTGTATGAATTGTCTATACAAGAACGTACATCCGACGCGCATTCAACACAATGCACAAAGTCGGGATCGTTGCAACATGATGCGCATGCCATGTGCTGGCAGGGCAAGGTCTTGGGCAAATGTTGTCCATGAATGCTGAAGAACCTGAGGCATCGGCAACATTTCGGCCATTCTTCATGTCTTTGAGCATCTGATAGATCATCGCTTGTGAAGACCTTGAGCGGTGTGGGAGCGCAACTCAGATCTTGGCTGGTTTGAATCGGATTTCTCGTTTCGCGAGTTTTTTTCAATGCGTTTCCTTGCTGCTCCCTCTGCTTGAAGCATCTTCCCTGGGAAGGACAAGTTCGCGAATTTCTGCAAGGCATCTTGTTGATGGTTTCTACTTCACCAGCCCTCTGAACAACGAACAAATACAACAAGAAATGGGAATATCTCGTTGACTGCACTGGTATTCGCCGAGTAGATTTGAGATAACTGAACTAGGCATAAAGGGCAGTTCTCCCACCTAAAATCTCCTCTCTCCTCCCTCCACTTCTCTCCCTCCCATTTCCTGTCTCCTCTCTTCTCACTCCTGCTCCCTCCCCTCTGCTCTCTGCTCTCTGCTCTCCCCTCTCTCCTCTCTCCTCTCTCCTCTCTCCTCTCTCCTCTCTCCTCTCTCCTCTCTCCTCTCTCCTCCCTCCCTGCTTCTAGTTCATCAGAAAAGAAGGGCAAATGGCGCATGGGTATTCCCGCCTTCAACAACCAAGCTTGCCTCACTAGATTTGAACTGTGATAGAAAAGGCAGAAACAGTTCATGTATCTTCTTTCTTAGTCATTATGTTTTTTAAAAAAAAGGCAGAGCCTATTAGTGAGCTCTCCATCCATGAAAGTTCAGTGCATGCTCCCTTCTCCATGCCGCACAGGCTGTGTGCCGCAGTCATGTCTGCCGATCTATGACCGTCATCTCTACCATCATCATCATCTCTACCATCATCATCATCATCATCATCATCTCTGCCATCATCATCATCATCATCATCATCATCATCATCATCATCATCATCATCATCATCATCGCAGTCTAGGTAGACGATGTGGCCGAT